CAGCTGATAATGAAGATCTGTCATAGTACAGGTTAATTATGGTAAACATAACTTCCCTGCCCTTGCATAAACCACTTGCCCTCCAGAGGATTTACCCCCCTTCCTGACCAGGCCATTTTTTGCGATACGGCACTGTGGTACTTTAACTGACAATCGCACGGTCATGCAATGCTGCACCCAAATGAAATTTGTGTCCTTTTTTCCTACAAATAAAGCTTTCTTTTGGTAGAATTTGATCGCCTGTGTGTTTTTTATTTTTTGCGCTATAAACAAAAAAAGACCAACAATTGTGATAAAAAAAAAACAATATTTTTAAATTTTTGCTATTAAACATGTCCAGTAAAAAAATCTAATTTTGTCATAAATTTAGGCCAAAATGTATGTCTTTGCTAAAAATAAATCCCAATACGTATAAATTAATTGGCTTAGGTGAATGTTATAGCGTCTACAAATGGCGGTATAGATGATACTGGATTTTTTTTTTTTTAGTTTATACTAGTAATGGCAGCGATCAGTGAATTATAGCGGGACTGCGGTGGACAGTCTGACACTGGAGTGGAACTGACTAAGTGTCACTGACATTCCTAGTGACACTAATACAATGATCAGTGCTAATAAAAAGCACTGACACTGTACTAAAGGCACTGGGCAGGAAGGGGTTAACATCATAGGGAGGTCGGAAAACGGTTATTATTACATAATAGGAAGAATCCAGGTATAAGCAGTAACTTTAAATGTAAGCAGCATTTTTTAAATACTTTTTTTGTGATGCTATTTGAATGAAAACATATAACACATATAAACACACGTAGATGTTTTCCAAATTTGGCTGGAAAAGTGGAAATACACTTTTATTTGCCTTTTAAAATATAAAATAATAGGAATCAAGGTGAAGATAACCTCTTTCTCTTTTTCAATGTAAACATTCATTTTAAGACCTTTAGCTTTAATGAGCAACAAGCATTTGAGGAAAGGTCTGTTTAAGTTTCACATCTCTGCATACAGTTTTATTTCTAAGTCCTAATGTACACTGGACGTTTTTTACAGCTGCTGTTTTTGGCTTTTGAAATTTTTTTGTACAGCTAGTAAACCCCCCAGCATGTTATCCTCTAGTGCATTATTCTATGGACAGCTGGCGGCCATCTTTATACCATTTGACATTTAAAAAAAAAAAAAAAATTGATTCATTGTGAGTTTTATTTCATCTTCTATTGTTATCCTTTGACTGAATAAAAGTTACTACACTATGGGACGTCTTTTTGCTCTGGCTCATTTCTGGTAAATCTTTTCCATAAGGATACCCATGGTGACCTGGCTATAACTACAAGTGGGATTCCCCTTGGTGGCTGATTAAGTCCAATCCTGGTGCCGAATAAACCCTGATGGTGTGCTGTCTGCCCCACTGATGCCCACCAGATGACCTGATGTTTCAGTAACCTAATGCAGATGACCAGGAGTTGGTCCTAATTACTCAAACACGCAGTTATTTGTGCTCTCTGGTGAGTGCAATCTACAGCCACTTATTATAATTTCACCATCACGGATTCACACGGAGTAGACACTAACTGGATTACTACTTCACGTTTGCACCTTGAAACGCTAACTTGGGATGTTTATCACATCTATATTCCACTATACGCCTCATTGCGTGCATTTATTTACGTCACTATATTTCATATGGATATCATAGTTGATCATCTTTATATAATTTTTTATCAGATCTAGTCAGGTTTGATTCATGCATTTTATGATTTCATGCCTTTTAATTATACCCTTAGCGCTGCATGTTTATTATTTATGATGTCATCCTATGTGTCCATGCACACAGAGACTGTAATCAACATTTTTTGGCTGAAAAAAAAAAACCAGGACTAGTTGGTTTCTAGAGGAGTATTTTAGCTGTAAATATGCTCTAACACTGAAAAATATGGCAAAATGCGGGAAAATGCGGTAAAACGCTGCAGACCGGCGTTTTTTTTGGACTTTTTTTGACCTAAAAAACACCAAAAAATGCAAACGCAGAAAAACGCTGCTAAACACGGCAAAACGCCGCTAAACGCTAATGTAAAAATGCTAAAGAAAGCTGAAAAACTCTTTACACAACTAATGTTACCAGCGTTATCAAAACGTCCCGTGTGCATGAGGACTTATATGTATTACCACCTACACCAGTATAGTCTTAAATTGAATTTTTCTCCTCTTTTTTCATACTCTCGTATATTAACCACTTCACTGTTGGAAAAGTAGCAATGAGTGAGTAGAAACTTTTTAGCCACAATAGTTCTCAAATCTTGCAAATTTCATTTTAATGGCATAGCAAATCTTTTTTAATACATACTTTTTTAGTATTGGTAGAAGTAATTGCAAGCAGGCTTTGGTCCCGGTGCTATTGGAAACAAGAACACAAAAGAATAGTCTTTGTATAATTAATAATTTCATTTTAAATGTCTTTCAAAATACAAGTACACATAATACTTAGTTCTCAAGAGAAGTTTCAGTCATACTGAAAAGTAAGTAAGTCACGTAGAGCAGAATGTTGGACAAGATGCACACACACAGGGGGGACTGACCATTTGGAAACTCGGGCACTGCCCGAGGGCCCGGGGTCAGTAGGGGGCCCCATGAGATGCCCCTGGTACCTTTTTCATAGGCTTATTTGAGTTTGGACAAGGACACAGGGACCCCATGAGTTGTCAGTCCGCCCCTGCATACACATATTAGTTGCGTAGCATAGTAAACAACTTGTCATTTCACTCACAGCAGTCCTGTCCATCAGCAGCAACCTGAGAGCCAGGTGTTTACTGCATTTAGCCAGGCGTACCAGAGCCAAAGCAAAGAGAAAAAATCTGGGGGTGAGAGGAATAATTACACCAAGAAGACAATGTAATAATTGTTTAACTGATTTCCAGTATGGGCCAGGGCAACTCCTAAAAATATGATAAAGTGTACCTGTAGCTCTATGACATCTCCAGCAGCAGTCATTGCCGTTTGGGTAAATAGCGTGGAGGACATCTGGTGTCATATACCAAAAGCAGAGTATCTTGTAAACATTTTCTTTATTAAGAGTACACATTGAGCTCTTGACTGCTTGAGGCCAGATCACCTGCCATGTCTCCAGGGGTAGTTCCTCACCCAAAATTCTCACCAACAGGATTACGGCCATCACTATCGCCTTGGCATTAGCACATAGTTGTCCTTGTAAGTGTACGTGTTGTTACTTAGCACACGTCATACAATAATGTTATGTATATTGTACATGTATGTTATTACAATGATTATGTTTTTGTTTATCCAGAAATATTCAGCACAGCTCCTGAGGAAGCGATGTTTATTGCGAAACATGTAGAGTTTTGACCTAAACACATCAAGAATCCCAGCCAAGCATATAGCTAATCGATGGCTATTCTTATCTTATGGGGCCTTGAAGTGTTTGGGTAGTCTGGAAAATGTTTTAATATGTTGTAATTTTGTTTATAATTGTTGTCTACTTTATGAACCATAATTCAGTTTGTACTTTTTTAAATTAAAATTGTGGTACCTAAAAAGTCTGTGTGTTCATATTCCCAAATACTGTAATTATTAAAGTGTTACTAAACCCACAACAATAAAATCAGTCTGTATATGCAGTGAAGCATGCTTGTTATACTCACTGTGGTACCTAAGGGGTAATCCTTTGCATTGTGTAAAAAGGATGTTTAATCCTGTCTTCTCTGATCCTCTCCTTCTTCCACAATTCCTACTTCATCTCCTGATAGAACAGAGCCTTGGGGCAAACTGCTCATGCTGAGTTTGGTGTGTATTGCTAGACAGTTATTTTTTCTTGGGAGAGTGCATGTGATCAGGACAGGGCCAATCAACACTGTCCAGACAGAGGGTCATGGGTCCTGAAGTCTCATAGGACAGTCAGAGCAGAATGAAAACTCCTCCTACAAGCTTTAACTAGTGCTCTGCTAGACACTGATAGAAGTTACAAGATTGCTCTAACTGCTGTTTTTAGCAGTTTATATTTACTATAATAATTGCATTTACATGTTCTGTGTACTGTGGGAGACCAGATATAGTGAATACAGGGTCCTGGGTTTAGTAACACTTTAAGGATGTGGCACTTTTTACAAATAGTATGCACCCCAGTAGTATGTAGCCATCCTGTGTTGGAGCATTGTTCCTGAATCACAATATTCAATGGGGGGGGGGGGGGTATACTAAAACTGGTGCACACAGAATCTAGTGCAGCTGTGCATAATAGCCAACTCTATATTTGATGATTCTACATCAAAATGGAATTAATACATTAGTAATTAATTGAGAAACTATTAGGACTGCAAATATCTTTGGGAAATGAGAGATGCTGGAAGACTGTATTCCTTTCTCCCAAAGTGGTTTTACAGTTTAACAGGTAACTCAAAAATTACATTTGCCTAAACCTTTCCATGTAATAACACAATTGTCCTCTTAATATAAGGTGTAATGCAGAGGATAAACAATTTTTATTATTTGTATACAATATAAAGTAAATAAAATATTTATTAAATATTACACAATATATCTGCTGTTTAAAATGTTCTCAGATCAAGACTCCTAAGTTAATTCAGATCCATAACCTATTTTCTGTCGGGCTCTTGCAACTCTGAGTAGGCTTTCAAAGCTTTTCTATAATGCTGCAGGCACCCCCCATCTGTTGTACACATCTGTTAGGAGTTCAAATCAGCCCAAAAGTTGATTAGTCTTTTTTGTTCAGTGACACAAGAATCCAGTTGTAGAACTAATATTAAAAGTATGCTAGATTTCCAGAAAATAATATGCACAAAGGCTTCTTTAATTGCTGCAAAAAGTTGGGTACAGTGAAAATGCTATGAACCTGTATGAGCAAGCCACCATATTGTTTCTGGTGTAATTTATTAGAGCATAATGCAAACATACATATATATATATATTGTGGCAGTGCGGTATCCTGCCACGGTGGAAAGCACGATGGAGACCCAGGATTCTCAACCATAGAGGTTGAGGGGCTCCAGGCAGATCTCCTAATGCAGAGGAAACTGGTTTATCAGTTTCCTCTTTGGTTGGTAAAGCCTGTTTTGGGACCTGTAGCCTGGAGATTTCTTAGAGATTTGGGAGGGATGAAATCTTTAATCCTGGACCCATATTTTGGGAGCAGCCAGCGTGCTGATTGCACAGGTGTGTGCAGGCCTTTTAGCGGAGGCCAGGCCATGATTCTGGGCTCCACCCCGGCAGACAGGAGTCAGGAGGGCTCCACCTCGGCAGTTAGGAGTCAGGAGGTCTCCACCCAGGCAGACGGGAGGTCTCTGCCGTGGAGTCAGGTGGGCTACACCTAGGAGAGGTGGAAGCCAGACTAGCTCTGTGCTAGTGCCATACTTTGGGAAGAGTCTGCAGGAGGCAGACTTAAAACCGTGTACAAGCCAGGAGGCTGAATATGAATTTGTTTGATGTTGGATACCCCTGCGTGGGAAGCATTTGTGTTTCTTGAACTTTCTTGTAAATAAAAGTGGGCAAAAAAGCCCTTAAAAGAAGCGAGTTGCTGTGTGCTTTGAAGAAGCTCTACCACGTTGAAGCGAGTTCCCACATATATATAGTAAGTGAGTTGCACTTATCAGTATAAATCTTTAATATGAATATACGCAGCAGGTAAGCTCCACTTTATCCACCACAATATATCCAATAAGGGGATGCGATATCTGTAGTATGCAAAAATCAAATTTACTGTATATTCCAACAAGTATAATATACTTTCAGCTTCGCTCAAGGTTCAAGTATTCAACATACAGCAACAGTTTTGAGTGTACCTCTTTCTCAAGCTAGAAACTGTGTTGAAAATATGTAGAGAATTGGATTTTTGCATACTATAGATATTTAGTATATAAAATGTTAATTGTAAACCAGGGGCGGACTGACCATTTGGAAACTCAGGCACTGCCCGAGGGCCCGGGGTCAGTAGGGGGCCTCATGAGATGCCCCTGGTACCTTTTTAATAGGCTTTTTTGAGTTTGGGCAAGGACACAGGGGCCCCATGATCCTCTATTGCCCGGGGGCCCCATGAGTTGTCAGTCTGCCCCTGTTGTATACCAGTATCCTTAAACTATAATGTCATTCAAAACTATGGTAATGCTTTTGCTGCATGCCTTAGCAGCATGTCATATTTCTCCTTAAATCACTTAAAGAGGGACTTCACTCTCTTAATCAATATCGACTATTGTTAATCCTTATGCTGGTAATATTAGTAGATAGATAGGAAAGTATATTATATTTACTTTTTTTAAACTTTTTTTAAAATTTCTTCAGTTACTTCCTGGTTTCCATACCTAGGTAAATTATGTCATACATCCCAGGAATCTTCAGGAGGGGAGGACGGGCTTTCTCAGCTAAGCAGACCCTCCTGCCTTCATGCCTGAGCTAAGGGCAGATGAATTCCAGATTCCAGGAAATAAGTTAATCTGCCTTTACATAATATGACCACAGCCTGAAATGCTAGGGGGTGTTTTTCAAAGCAATTTCTCATCAAAATAAAGCATGGAGACATGAATGGATGGATGAGTTTGCTTTGAATATTAAAAATGAATTAAATAGTGTTTTTGGTTCATGCTGCTCAGATACAGTGTAGTTCCGCTTTAAAGTGAAAAACCAAAGTAGTAAAACATAGCATGGAGAAATTGTAGAGCTCCTGTCAGCTGTTACTAGCAATGAAGAGATTCCTTTACTTCCTGTCTAGTAAACAGTTTGTGCCCTTGGACAGGAAGTGAGGGGAAATCCCTCTAACGGAATCCCTGTCAGGTAATTTGTGATTACTTTTTATACTGGAAACAATAGTTACCAGGACCAATAGGATGTAGCAGCTGCAAATGTGGGTCCCTTTAATTGTTTTTCTCACAACTTTCTAGTTTTCTGGACATGCCCATGGAAAATAAATTTTTCGGTTTTTTCTCTCTCAGAAGCTCAGAGGCCTGATGGGGCAAAGGTAGCTGGGCAACTGGTCTGCAGCCAAATGGGAGGCTCTCTGCTTTTAGAGCTTGTGCGTGGAAACCAGGCCAGGGCCTAATAATTCGCTGCTTCTCCCAAAATCCTAGGTACTGCTCAGAGCACTTCCCTATTGCTATCAGAGTACTATATACTATATTGCCAAAAGTACTGGGACGCCTGTGTTTACACACACATGAACTTTAATGGCATCCCAGTCTTAGTCTGTAGGGTTCAATATTGAGTTGGGGCCCACCCTTTGCAGCTATAACAGCTTCAACTCTTCTGGGAAGGCTGTCCACAAGGTTTAGGAGTGTGTCTATGGGAAGCTTTGACCATTCTTCCAGAAGCGCATTTGTGAGGTCAAACACTGATGGTGGATGAAAAGGCCTGGCTCGCAGTCTCCACTCAAATTCATCCCAAAGGTGTTCTATCGGGTTCAGGTTAGGACTCTGTGCAGGCCAGTCAAATTCCTCCACCTCAAACTCGCTCATCCATGTCTTTATGGATCTTGTTTTGGGCACTGGTGTGCACTCATGTTGGAACAGAAAGGGGCCATCTCCAAACTGTTCCCACAAAGTTGGAAGCATGAAATTGTTCAAAATGTTGTAGTATTCTGACACCTTAGGAGCAGGGGCGGACTGACAACTCATGGGGCCCCCAGGCAATAGGGGATCATGGGGCCCCTGTGTCCTTGCCCAAACTCAAAAAAGCCTATGAAAAAGGTACCAGGGGCATCTCATGGGGCCCCCTACTGACCCCAGGCCCTCGGGCAGTTCCGAGTTTCCAAATGGTCAGTCCGCCCCTGCTTAAGAGTTCACTTCACTGGAACTAAGGGACCAAGCTCAACCCCTGGAAAACAACCCCACACCATAATCCCCCCTCCACCAAACTTTACACTTTGGCACAATGCAGTCAGGCAAGTACTGTTCTCCTAGCAACTGCCAAACCCAGACAAGTCCATCAGATTGCCAGACAGAGAAGCTTGATTCGTCACTCCAGAGAACATGTCTCCACTGTGCTAGAGTCCAGTGGGGGTGTGCTTTACACCACTGCATCTAAAGCTTTGCATTGCACTTGATGATGTAAGGCTTGGATGCAGCTGCTCGGCCATGGAAACATATTCCATGAAGCTCTCTATGCACTGTTGTTTTCCTAATCTGAAGGCCACACGAAGTCTGGAGGTCTTTAGCTATTGATTGTGTAAACAGTTGGTAACTTCTGCATGCGCTGACCCCGTCATTTTACGTGGCCTACCATTTCATGGCTAAGTTTCTGTTGTTCCCAGTTGCTTCCACTTTGTTATAATACCACTAACAGTTGACTGTGGAATATTTAATAGCAAGGAAATTTCATGGATGGACATATTGCACAGGTGGCAACCCATCACGGTACCACGCTTGAATTCACTGAGCTCCTGAGAGTGACCCATTCTTTCACAAATGTTTGTAGAAGTAGTCTGCATGCCTAGGTGCTTGATTTTATACACCTCTGGCAATATATTGTAGTTTCAGTGTGGTAAGTTCCATCCTCAGGCCTTGGATCCCTCCATCTATTCATCTGTATTACCTGAACTACAATAGACTTCACTAAGAGGGATGCTGTTAATGAGGATAAAAGCAAGTAGATGTATTCTGTGTTGTTTAACTGAAGTAGTGATTTACAGCTAAATTCTCTGATGCTATAGAGTCTATGCTATGCAATTACATTTTACCTTGGTTGAGCCACAGGAACTTTATTGTGAAGAGTACATGTTTGTGCAGCTTCCATTATCTGTTATGTATTGGTTTGAGGTGTATGCATGCTCTTTGCCATTCTGACCCTGTTTTGCATTTTTAATTTTAACTTTGCACCTGTGTAGTAAACTGCAAGTTACAGTTATTCTGTTTGTTTGCTGATTACCCATAATGGTGCAGTGGTTTAATTATTAAAGTAGTTATAAAGGCTATTTTTTTTATTACAAATCTGTTATACTTATCCACTCTGTGTAATGGTATTGCACAGAGTGGCCCCAAACCTCCTCTTCTGGGATCCTCCACTAGTGCTTCTCCTCTCCTCTGTGAGTTGCCATTGGAAGCCACTTCCTTTGGGGTGCATATGCAGGCTCACTCCCGAGCCAGACTGTACGCATCCATAGATGCCTACAGTGCAGCTCTGCCCCCCACCCGCATGTGCTGATTGACAGCAGCAGGAGCCAATGACTTCTGCTGCTGCCTCACCTCTACAGATGGGCACAGCGCTGGATAGTGTAAGTATTTGGGGGAAGTGATATAAATACTGGGATATGTTTTACCTTACAGTGACACTAAAACTTCCTTTTTCATTTTTATTTTTTTTTAATAACAAACATGTTATACTTACCTGGTTTTGCACAGAGCAGCCCCAATCCTCTTCTTTTTGGGTTACCGCATACGCTCCTTGCTCCTCTTCTTCGTGCAGTTCCATCAGGGAAAACTTCTCGCCCTGGGGGTATCGTTGTGTGCTCGTCCACGAGCCACTGTTCTATGTGTCCACAAGATACATAGAGATGTTTCTTGGCCCCGCCCCTACTCTTTCCTCATTGGCTCACTTGCTGTGATTGCTGTCTCAGCCATTGAAAAATGAGGAAGGGTCCCCAGACAACAGAGGCTGTCAAGAACGTCACTGGATCAAAGGGGGCTCAAGCAAGGATTGGGGGAGGGCTGAAGGAGCCGCTACGCACAGAAGGTTTTTTACCTTTATGCATAGAATACATAAAGGTAAAAAACCTTGAGCCTTTACAACCACTTTAATGCAGGGAATTCATCAGGGTAAAAATGTCATGCTTTTATAACCACTTTAAAACCCGACAAAAGCTCTAACCTAACGAAAAGAAAGATTACATACGTTTTAGGAATAGTGTTAAACAATGAAAGATAAATAATTGGCAATTATAGATCACTGAACTTTGTGCTGCATTGGTGACCTTTGTATTGCCCAAATAAATCTTTTTTTTTTCTTATTTACAGTACAGTGTTTATTATTTTCCCAAAGGTGCTACAACATGTAATTTTACATCAATAAGCATTCGTTTACAAATCTCATGTCTATCAAACACATGTGACATTTTAACTACATGCAATTTAAACCAATGTGAAACCTCGCTAATGGGTGACATAAATAAATAATCAACTGCCAGCATACCTTCAGACACCAATGGTCAACAGAAATACATATATATTGCAGTGCGCTACTCACAAAGAATGTATAAATAACCAAAAAGTGCAAAATCAATATAACATGCATATATTTATGTATATTATGTATAACTGTGTTGATTGATTGCCATCGGCAGGAGAAGATCCTTCTATGCTACTGTAATAATTATTTTGAATCAAAGGTCTACTATCTAATGTGAAAAATATATTCAAAGACACATGTCCAGAAAAAGAACAAATGTACATTCTTCCTCCTCCTAGAAGTGAAGTTCTAGTAGGGACACTACAAAATGTTATCTGCATATCTGCATAACATCATTGTAGACCATATACATTGAGTAAAAAACCAGTGTTTTGGTTTCATTAAAGTTAGATATTTTTGCTCTAGGTATAACCAGGTATAACCAAATATTTTTTTTTTATTTATGCGGATATGAAGGCTTATTCAGTTAGACATAGTACTTTAACCCTTACCATCCTGATATCATCTAATATACAACAAGAAACTAAAATCTGGACTGGTTGTTAAAGGTAACTGCTCTCTAAACAGTATCCTTGTAGTTTATTGTTCTTCAAATAACTTAAAGGATAAGTTCACCTTTTGACAAAAAAATAATAAATGCACATTTTTTTGCAGGTAAAAAAATTGGGCTTTTATTAATTTTTTCTAAGGAACCTGCAGATCATTGCAGCCACAATAAGCCGATTGCTGGTGCAATCTCAAGTTCGTGCACACTCTTAGGATAGCTGTATGTCTAGCAGCTCATACAAGCAGGCAGCTACCTGAGAGCAGGAAGATCAATGGGTTATAAGAGCGCTCACCAACACCCTCGCCATACATTCCAGAGCCAACAACTGGAAATGACATAAGTTAGCTCAGTCCAACGCGTTTCATCATCGTGACGTCATCAGGACAATTCCTGATGATGACAAGATGATGAAACGCGTTGGATGGAGCTAACTTACGTCACTTTGGTTTTCGGCTGTGGAATGCATGGTGTTCAGGTTTTAAAGCACTCTTTAC